TGTTGATGCTGACATGTTTACCATTACTTGTGATAAATAACTCAATGAGGTATTACTATTCCTCTCTATGTTACAAACTAGCCAACTAGAACCCCAACCAGCTTTTTAATGTTCCTCTTCTGGTTTTTGTTTTTACATTAAAATATTTCAACAAACCAAGTTTAAAATCCCCTGGACGTGTCTAGTGCCTGGCTCTGAAATACATCAGGGCTTCATTTTGTTTCCATTCATCCACACGTGGCCAAACAAAAAAGTCCCACCCTCTGAAAGGCCTGTGCCATGAAGCTTCTTTGATCATCTTGTTCTTTTGTGCGGTTTGGCCCTCTAAACACTCTCTAATGTGAAAGGCGAGTCATTACCACCTGACCCATTCCAGTCTCATGAAAAGAAAAGGCCACATGTGTCTGTGTAATGGTCTCAGCATCTTTGATCTGCTCTCTGTCCTAATATAAATGTAACCACTTTTCAGGATAGCAGCTGGTGCAGAAGCACTTTCCTTCCTTTCATTTCCTGTACCCCATCTGGCTCTCTATCTCCCACTTATTTTGGTGTATGTGCAGTACCACCCTGTGTTCTGCCTTTAGTGTACAGATACGGCACTGACTTGAGGGAAATGGAGACATCACTGAGGGATCYAGCAGTGTCTTTTTTTGTCAAAATGACAGGACCGAACATCAGGGCTTTGCTATGTATTCAAAACACAAACTACTGCCCACTCTCTCTGTTGGAGGCTTCACATTAGACACATGCAAAAATTATCACAGTGGATTGTCTTCAACCATTTGTTTATTCATTTTGATAGGGAATATGTCCATTTGAAACAATATAGACATGCTTCCCACTTTAGTCTATAAAGTTGGAATGAAGTATATTAGCCTTAAGACACAAGTTCTGTTTTATAACTATGTGCAATTATGCCACATTAATAATAAATGTTTATGTCTGAAGAAATATTACTTCAGCCAAAATTGACCTGCTTGCACATGGATTTATACAGCTAGTTGCTGTGATCTGCATTTGCAATTAACCACAATGTGCTATGTAAGTAACTGTCTGAAAGTAAGGGCAGTGTAAAGATTTTTAAAAGAATGATGTTCTCATAAACCTCTGTAAAGATTTTTTTTAGACAGGAGTTGTTGGTGGCAGCAATCCACTTCGATCTACATCAGCAGTGATGATGTGCACTCATGCTGGCTCAAGAATTCTGCATGGCCGAATCCTAAAACCCTGCTAAATGTTTTCTTAGGCTTACATTTGGATGTCTCTACAAAAAGCTGGCAGTTGATTGTTGCATAAATGAGACATTTTATTTGGTTTACAGTAGCGTTATTGTCTTCTTTCAGCATGTCAAAACCTACATTAGGTTGAAATGTAATTTAGACCTAGAGCCTGACATAAAAAAATGAGGGTGTTGCTGGTGCTTCTTACACACCCGTGAAAGGTCACTGCATCCTGGGTGACACAGCCAACATCCCAGATCTGCAAGGGAGAAAATAGATAGGGTATGATGGTGTAAGACCTGAGGGTCAACCTTTTCTCTTCTGACTGTTTGACATGGAGGGAAGACAGAGATAAATAAGAGTCAGAGGTTTGGCATTACCAAGTTACCACAGGGAGAAGCAGCAGTGGTGCTAATGTTAGAGGGAAGGTCAGGCACTGACCACTGCAGAGGGTTCATTCTGGATGACTCAGAAACAGACATTCAAAATGGGACACAGACACTAAACACCAACGTCATGTTAGATTTCTGATTTAATTTTTTTGGGGCTTTGCACATCTTTAACTAAGCACCAATAAATGAAAAAAGGGAGATTATGAAAGCCTGGCGTGCCATTAGGAGATTTTTTTTCCCTTTCTTTCCATTCCACCCTTCAGTGATTTTCTGCTACCTTTCTAGTCTCAATATTTGCTTTTGCTTGAGCTCCTGAACACTTGAATAATAAGCCAGCCATTTCTACAGGGGAGAAATACTCATGTCTGAGGATGAACAAAAGTTTTTATCCTCATCCAAAATGAAGAATTACTATTATTGATGCCTATAAAGGTCGAGAGGAGCTTATTGATTGTTGGAAAAGAAGGACTGAAAAACCAAGCTACCCATTTTCAGCAAGCTGTTTTTCCACCTTACTGTATGTCTACTATAAATGATTCATCTCAGAACTAGGCCTACATCATCCATTATATAGATGTAATCCGATACATTGTTATTTGGATTTAACTCTTTATCTTAGTCAAATCTTAAAACAGAATTGATTCTCACAATTTAAAACATTCTCAATGTGAGAGTTTGCAGGTAGAATGACCTAAGGCGCAGGCAAAACTCCAAAGTTCAAAAAATATATTTTAATAAACCAAGGGAGGGCTGTTGTAGCAGCAAAACTTACATTCTTCAGGGAACAGCACAAAGAACATGGATGACAACCACAATGACTGTGCAGACAGTACAATGATCCGACAAAGACTAGGCACAAGTCACAGAATATAAGGCAAACCAATTAAGGACAATAATGCGAAACACCTGGGGAGACACACGAGGAACAGGTGAGCAAGGGCGGGGCTAGAGGAATGACAGCAGGGGAAAGATACACAGGGGAACCCAGAAAACACTAGAAAACTAAGGGAAAATAAATACAGATTATGACACTCAAATGGAGTTGATCTCAGTGCCCAGCACATGCCAGACAGTAGAATATGTCTGGCATGCCAGAAATGGTAGGAAGTTTTTAAAGAGACAGAGGCCAATTTCAAGGCATTTAGATAGACTATGATGCAGTTAATTTTATTTTGATATATATATAACATTTTCATAACAGCTGAAGGTAACATGGTTACTCGCGGTATATAATTGAACTATGTGCTTGGAAAATGCATAAAAAACTCCTTTGATATTGTGCAGGAGAAATACTACAAAGAACTAAAATGTCATTGATGGTTTTGTACAGTCTGTTACTGTTCAAATAAGGTGCCGGATATGATTTTCAGCTATTGCAACAACAAATGTGATTTTAAAATATCCATTCAGTAAAAGACACAGGTTTTATTACATTGATTTAAACCCCTTAAACATTTKGGGAAAAATAAAATAAAAATAAAATGACAACGTACACAAGATAGGAAATTTATAGAAATAAGGGACTGATTATTAATGTATATCATAGTATATATTGCAAGCATCCATGTTATTTAGGTCTTGTTTCTTTAAATATTATGTTGATTTTCTCAGAACAAAAACATTTCAAGCAATAAAATAACTCAAACCAGTCAAAAAAAATTCCATGTCTGAAATTTACACTAATAGATTTGGAAGGAACTGTGGAAACATAATATATGATGATTTGAACTTTGATTTTATGTTTTAATCACGCTTCCTGTCCCCTTTAATATTTCATTGTTGAAATTCTCACCATTTCCGACTAAAAACCAGGGCATCGCTCTGAGAACTGTGTGATAAAATATTTAGGATTATTTGTTTGGTATATATTGAGATGTGTGGGGAGCATTTATTTTCACCTATCTGTTTCAAACCTTTATTGTAAAGCTTTGGTGCTTGATGACCCTGAGGTGAGGGAAATATTCAYAACCTGCTTTCTCTGTTTTTATTATGTAATTCTCTCTTTTCTGCCAAGTCTCTTTCACCTTGCTGCTTGCTTCCAAGCTGAAAAAAAAAGCAT